TCCATCCATCCATCCATCCATCCATCCATCCATCCATCCATCCATCCATCCATCCATCTCTATCTATCATCTATCAATCTAATCTAATCCATCCATCCATCCATCCATCCATCCACTCAACCTTATCTGTCTGTCTATCTCTCTATCATCTACCTAATCTAATCTAATCTACCTGTGGCTGCTGCTCTCTGTGGCTGCCTTGGAGCAAAAGGCTCGGGGAAGACTCACTTTTAGCCAGGTAGCTCTGAGTTTTCTCCTGCCTTGCAGGTCAAAGTCCTCTTGGGAGAAGACCGCGAAGCAACGGGGATGTTGCTGAGCATTGATGGGGAAGACGGCATCGTCCGCATGAACCCAGAAGAGCAGCTTCGAATTCTCAACTTGCGCTTCCTGGGCAAACTCGTAGAAGCTTAGAACAGTGCCGAGAACAAGAGTGGGGTGTGATTAGGGGGCTTGGTTACGTTTTCTTCCCTCTTTTTTCCCACGTAGCCGGTTTCCTCCTGACTGCATCCCAAGGCTTTGTACAGATTTGCTCCAGAGGAAGGTTTATATTTTTGGGGGTGCGTGTACGAGTTTCTTCCTGGCGCCTGTTTTCCCCCAGCGCTGCGGGTGACTGCTTGGGTGAGGGACAATCTAGCCATGGTGTTATGAAGAAGAGCTGCCTCCAGTGGAGCACCGTGCCCTGCCATTCCCCCCCCCCCTCTTCTGTAGCACTTTATGGCCTCTTCGGCACCAAAACATCCAACCTGTAGCTTGTTTTAATAAAAGCATCTCAAAGATCCCATATTGTAAATTCCTACTTACAGAAATCTTGAATTTTTGTCTGTCTGTCTACCTTACTTACTGACTTATGCAGGTAGTTCTTAGCTTAAAACCCAAAATTTATGATGCCGAGTTTTGACCCATTTTGTATTGTATTTGTATTTTGTATTTAATAAATTTATAGGCCACCCAATCCCGAAGGACTCCGGGCGGCTTACAGAAAGTAAATTTTAAAAAACATAAAGAATTTTTTAAAAAAACAGAAGAAATTTTACGACATTTCTTGCCACTTTTGTTAAGCGAATCACTGCAGGTGTCAAGTAACGTGGATATGAAGTGCATCTGGCTTCCCCATTATCAGAAGGTGGCAGGACAGTCATAAATATGAGTCAGTTTCCAAGTTTTGATCATGTCACGGTGGGGATGCTGCAACCATCATAAGTGAAAAACAGTACTAAGTCACTTGCAATTCAAGCGGCCACTAAATGAACTGCTGTAACTCAAGGACTATCCATTTTTCTCATCTCAACTAGGGCAATTCTGGCGAACTTATAATCAAAGCAATAAGATAAAAAAATTTAATTTAAATTAATAAGTATTTAGATACAATAAGCGCTAACTGTGGATGCTTTGGCTCTATGGTGTGAAAATCGAGGTTTTTTTTTCCAGTTTTTCTTTTTAAAGGCACGTGTCTTGCTCTTCGCACGTGCTTTGCTGTCCGGCTCTTTAACCTTGTCACTTTCCGGGAAGACCAGTAGGGAAGAAAAGGTCCCGCCCTTTCGCGTTCTAGCCAATGGGAACTCCGGCCGCTTATTTCAATACGAAAAGCTTCGCGGGTCTTCACGCCCCCTTGAGTCGCGATTGGTCAGAGAAACCTGGGCGGCGTAGAGCTGGCTCGCGGATTGGGTACCATCACAGATCCTGCTTTTGTGATTGGTCGAAGGGGCGGGCAAGTCCGGCTCCGCAAATATGAATGCTGCGGAAGGAAAGGACTCCTTCCGCTTTTCGCTCTCTGATTGGCTGCTTCCTTTTCCCTCCCCCCCCCCGGCCGAAGCGGTCGTGAAAGGCAGCTGAATTGTGTTAGGTGTACTCTACCTGGGCCATGTCATCTATATTGCCCTTCACC